TCCAAAAAAGGGGGGACACGGGGCCGAGAACTGGTTGCGGATGCGCTGAGTCGATTAAGAAATATGCGAACTGCACGACGACAATGTGAAACGTTAAAAAGGAATTTTGCTTAATGGCAACAGCAACAGCAAGTACAACAGGAACAGCAGCAGTAACAATGGCTACACTCAGAAAAAGTTTTACCAGGCTGAAATATTTTTTATACATTCTCAACAGCTTTAAAAAATGTTGAGACGGACGGATGTTGAGACGAAAAATGTAATTTTTTGTACCCAAAATTATTAAAATTAAAACAAACATTTTTTAATAAAACAAAGAATATACTGGAATATTTTTGATGATATCTTTGTAAATGCCAATATGTTTTTCTCAGTGCCAAGAGCAGTAACAATGCTGACAATTAACCGGCATGAATGGCAGGAAGTTTGGGGAGCGACCTTGCAATGTCGCAACGATGACGAGCCAAGATGTTCGTTGTCTGTTAACTTTGCCGCCATTTGTCTGCAGTTGGTAGCTTGGCAACTTGGTAACTTGGTAACTGCCAACTGGCAACAACTAACTGTTAACTGGGCCTAGACCTGGGCTCGGCCGCCCCCAACTGCATTCCAACATGCCATGCGAAAGTCAAATCTAACTGCATGTTGCATGCCACTCCAAGACAAACCACCATATCCATCCATAAAATAATGGCTAATCATAATGCAATTTTAGCCGGGGCTAACTGGCGTTAGCATGGGCCGACTGCAGATTTAGGTAATGTGTCGAGCACTAATTGCTTGGAACACACTTTGAGACTAATGTCGAGCTGCGGTACTTTTATTAGACCTGGCAATTTAAGATGACCTGCAGAACAATGGATTTCTATTAGGAGTGACTTAATTGGAAACTGTGTGGGGGAAAAATGTTAGCAAACGAGGCTGGAATGGCTAAATAAGGAGAATATTTTGTAGCATTACTTATGCGCATTAACTATGCGCATTTTAGAGTTAAATTACCATGAAAGTCATGAAAAATTGATACAAGTTGCAAGTAGCTTTTTTATTTATATTATTATTTTAAAAAGTTTAACAATTCTGCTAACATTGTGGGAACTTTAACACCTAAAACTGTGTAATCTAATCTACCAACAGATGTTGGTACAGATGCCAAATATATTTTTCGCATATGTTGGCTATTTATTTATTTGAATAAATCAATTTGCGCAGGCGCATTGTTTCGGATCAGATGGAACAGTAAACAGAAAATAGGAACAGTTGTGTGGAATGCGATCTGTGATGAAACCCTCGTATTCCGACAGAAATAACGCCCCCTAAGCAACTGGTGAAGATCCTTTCCCTCCCCTTCAAAGATAATAACAGTTGGTCAGGCACACATACTATAAAACAGGGGATCCGACTGATTGTATCTAGCCTTCTAATGAATTACGGCACACTTTTCAATTAGTTGCATGTTTATACAATAATTTTGATGATTCTCGAGAACTCACGGAGATGTACACCCCATGATGCTAGAGGAGATAAAGACCGTCAGCTGTTGAGTTCTGAAGAGTTTTTGAAAGAGTCTGCGTAGGGTGTTAACTATAATGAAGCCACCCTGTGGTTGTGTTTAATTGTTCGAGAAGTGTTCTATACAAAAGCGGGAAAAAGAAGATAGATCCATATTTAAAATGTATACTTTAAAAAAATAGTTCTATGATTTTATATTTAATATCTTAAAAATATTTTACTGGGTGAAAAATACTTAAAGGTACTGATAAATTGAAAAATCAACCATTTTAACCATGTTAGGTAATTACTGAAAGCTTTACTTATTAGAGAAAAAATGCTCTGTGCCCACCTCTTCGAATATTCAATCAGTTTTAAAATAGCATGCAAATTCTCGGTTAATCATAGAATGTAAATAAATTGGCGCCGCACTTGGTGGCTATGTGTCAAGGCAATCGGAATAACATCTAAGAGTTGGGACCCGCAATTGGAGAACTTGTTTGCCTACGCACAGCGTTCAATTTGCCAATGCAATTGCAATTTGATTAGGAGGGAGGCAGAAAAAGCAGAAATTACAAATATATTTCTGCAGCTGCGGCCGCTTTTTGTCGCACTTTTTCCGCTAAACTTGTCATTGTTGTTCGGTTTTTTTTTCTATATTTAATTGCAGCCACGGGGGGACGACGACGATGGATGTTGGATGCTGGCACTCAAGTGCACACTTCCTGTCATTTACATTAACAAAGTGTTTTTTCTGCTAGTTTTTATTTATTTTCACAACGCACTCAATGGGTTCTCGAAAGCATGCGCCATTGTTCGATTCGTAACGGGGCCTCTGAATCGGAACGGGAGTCTGAATCGGGGTTGGAGTCCCTGGATCCGGAGATTGAGTCCCATTCGGGGTTCCTGCAAGTGCACACAAAGAAATTACAAAGCTTTTGATTTCTCGATTAATAAAATTGTAATTCAAAATTTAAAAAGAAACAAGATAAATATCTATGGAGAAAAAAAACAAGAAAGAAAGCTAGCTTCGGCCAGCCGAAGCTTATATACCCTTGCTCATTCCTATTAATTAACAAATCGCAAAAATGTTCAATTTTCTAATATTTCTCATTAATTTTCCGATCGTTCCTATGGCAGCTATATGATATAGTCGTCTGATTTTGATCAAATTAAGATTGAAATTCGGAAATATTTAAAAAGAGTCATATCCTAGAGTAGAAGATAATACAATAAAAACCAAAGAAGCTAGAATTTATTTCCTATTACTTTTCCACTAATTTTCCGATCGTTCCTATGGCAGCTATATGATATAGTCGTCCGATTTTGATTAAATTAAAATTGAATTTGAAATTGAATTTTTTAAAGTTTTTTTTTTCCGATTGTTCCTATCGACTCGTCTAGTGATGCTGATCAAGAATATATAAATACAATGATATGCTTTCCAATAAGTATTAAAATAAAATATAAAATATAACATTATATTTTTCTTTACGTATTGTTATTTATTTTTTTGTTTTATATATTTTTTGCCGTGTCAGCGGTTGCGGCTGCGCGTGACGCACGTGGTTCATCGGGGCTTGGTGGTGCGTAGGGGTTGAGACCTATGCTTGGGGTTGTTCCTAACCCGCAGCACTTTCAGTTCAGATGGTTTATTTGCCTCGCCTGCATTGTGCCCCGTCGCTTGTGCCTGCCACACGCATTCTTGACCCAAAATCCAAGACGGAAAAAAGCCAGCTGCAGCTGCACCAGCAACTCCTTGGCCAAAGATCAAGGCAGCCAGCAGTGGCGTGTCAAATGGCCAACCAAACCAAACCAGCTGTTGCCATCCCATCAAATCAAAACCAGTTAGGCGAGCAAACATTTGGAAATGGGAAACCCATCCTAGAACCATTGTCCTTCGGTCGCCTCGACATATGTGCAGCTTCACAGTTGACTTGAAGGCAATTAGCAGGACTCGCACCCTCACTCGGTTGCTAGTTTTCACCCATGCAAATGAGTTGAGTGAATGTTGATTACAATTCAACCCACTACCAAGCCCTATTTTCTTATAGGTAACCCCTCAAATGGCAGCTGGTTTTTCGGGTCTGGCTATTTTTAGTTTTTCAAGTCCTTTTTGTGGGCTACATTTGTCAACAATTTGTTTTACGGTTTTGTACTTTTTGTGCGGGTTGCTACTAAGGGTTTTGGAAAATAAAATATCATACAAAAACTAAAAAAATATTAAGTAGTTTTACAGGTCACCAGAAACGTCGATTCCTTGTCTATCTTCCCTTACATCATACAAAGTGGTTGCCTTGCGTGATTAATTGCCACATTTGCGGCTATTATTGCGAGTCCTGCTGTTGTTATTTGTCTGGTTTCTGCTTTTGTGCGGCATTGGCAAAAAGGATGCAGCTTTCTCGGGGCAAGGCCAGTCCCAAATAATTGCCGACTGATGGTGTCTGCGGCTATCCACCAACAGCTGCTGCAATCACGCAGTCTGTCGACTTCCAACGGGGAGAAAACAAATATTAAAAACCACTTAGAGCGACGCGTGGCTAGCAATTAAAGTAAACACCAAGCATCGGTAAATCCTTTTAGCACTATAACCTATAATTGCAATATGAGCTGCCACTCGATGCATCCTGATCCGGCCACAAAAATATCCTTTCCTAGGCAGCTACCCCTTTTTGTGGTGTGTGTGTTTTGGCCCAACTGGGAGTTGCCATGGCAAATCCCTCGAATTCTGTGTCTGCGCATGCGCGACGGAAAGTGGCAGCTGTGAACTGAGGGACTGACCCCCAGGTCGGCGACTTTGTAATCCTGCGGAAGTTGATTTTATCACGTGTGTCCATTAGTTACCTTTCGGTAACCTGGAGTCCGGCTGCTGGGTTCAGAGTTCAGCTTAGAACAGAAAGGAAACTGAAAAGGGTTTTACTGGTATAGTTTTGAATTTTGTGGACAACCAAACCCTTTTTAAACAGCTGCTACTCTCTTGATCAAATATATCTACTTCGGAAATAGTTTGTCAATTGGCTCCACTAAACGTCAAGAGTTTAACAAGCTAAGTAGATTAAAAAATCTTATAAAATTAATCAACCTATCAAGCGAGGAGAATGCTCCCCATTCACTTGAAAAAAGCTGAATGATCTCGGAATAACTGGAGGCAAATATTTCAAAGTGCAGTGATCTCTCTCGCTCAAGAACCGCTGACAGAGAGTTCCCATCAATTGGAATGCCATTCGAGTGGTGTGTGTAACCTCGGAGGTTAGACCAAAAATGCCATCAGTCATTAATCTAATTTTTTCTATTTATGGCAAACGATTGATGGGCTTAGAGCGTCGCCGACGACTTGACAATTGGCGGCTAATTATGCAATGGCATCCCGAAAAGCCGGCCAGGAATGGGAACTGGCAGCTGGAATTAATTGGGCTGCCAACCGGAGATGCAAGTCTGGCGATAAGACCCTCTGGTCTCTGGGACCTCTGGAAACTATGAAAATGATGATGATGAGCAGTCGGCACCGCTGGAAAAGTCAAAATTAATGGGCCGAGTCAAGAGGCGACAGTTTTGTCGAGAAAATCAAATTACACTACGTTCGTTCTATGTTCCTAGTTAAATCTGTGAAATGGAGCGGACGATTAATAAGATGCGATACTATCTGAAGGATGAGGTGGTCTCGCACAACAAGAAGGACGACTGCTGGGTGATCATACACACGAATATCTTTGATCTGACGCCCATGTTGAAGGATCGCCTGGACCACTGGAATCGCGTGGGTGTTGTTATGATATTCCCAAAGTATCTTTCTTATTTAATAAATTTTTAAGACCCTGGACTATCTGGTAGCCCATGCCGGCAAGGACCTCACCCATTTCTTCCACAAGAACGGAGAGCCTCGCACGGAGATCTCGCCCAGCACTGGGCGACCACGTGTCCTGTTTCCTCCCATCTTGGAGGTGGCCATCTCGGAGTTCTCCAAGACGCCGGGTGTCATGTGGAGCCAGGACCCCTTCTACCACATCGGCAGGGTGACAAAACGAGCTCGGGTCATTCGGATTGTTAACACCCTGACTGCCCAGACGCAATTCATGACCGTTTGCGACGAGGACAGCATCTACGACATCCAGCAGAAGTACAAACAGCGATACAATCACCACGCCGGTAGTTACGAGTGGAGGAAGTTCTCGAAGGGGGTAAGTTTTCCTTATTAATATCCATAAAATTATACGTTTTTCGGCCCTGCTCTAAATTTAATATGGGTTTTCCCCACATTATCATATTTATTGCTCTATACTTCAACATTAAATGGTGCCATTAAAATGCTAGATTTTGAAATTAGAAAGTTAATGAAACATTACTTATTATTATTGTAATTATTAATCATTTTACTACTACTAAACGATTTTATTTATTTTTTAATTTTTATATAATGTCTAAAAATGATAGAAGAAAAAAAAAATTGGTTATAAATCCTAAAATATACAAAAATATTTTAAGCAAAAATATTTAAATAACAAGTGTAATGCATTGTAATAAATTTTGAAGACATCTGAGAAAAACGTAAACTTTAGTCATTTGATTGTTTAGCCTTTAAAATGTATATTATATCTCCCCTAACTTAGGGCAAAGGCTGCAGTGTCCTGGACCTGAATGGCACCCTGGACGAGAATGGACTGAGGGACGAGGAGGACAGCACCGTGGAGCTGCCGCCGCCCTCCATTTGGCTGTACTACACGGATGACATAACAATTGCTTGATTATTCCGCTTGTGATTAATTGTTATTGGAAATTTCTTGTGCTGTTTCGGCTGCAAGTTAAGCTCATTTCAAGCTAGACTGGAGTTGGTAGTTTACAGGCATTTTGGGCAAATTTCAACAAATGTCATGGTCGACAGCGGGCGGTAATAAGTCAGAAAAGTGCAGCCGACTTGTTCGGGGTCGCACTATCTACCTATCCACTTATGTACCATACCCACTATATAATATGCGCCTTATTGCTCCTGATCGCGGCTCTAATTTATGCGGGCCGGTGGAGCTGTGAACTCGTGTATGACGATCGGGGTGTCTGTTTTTTAGTTTTTTGAGTGGTACAGCGAGCCTGCAGCTGCCCAGTTGGCACGCGTTACTTGCCGGGGGGAGTGATCACTGAACTGTGAACTTTTGGGTGTTTTTCAGCGAGCCTTTCGCGGTGGAAGTTATGGTGTTTGGTTCTGGGTTCTTGAAAGTGCGCCCACCTTTCTTGGATCTCCACTAAGCTCTGGGGGCTTCGCTGGCTGCCTGGCGTTGTGTTATCTTGAGCGCATAAATAATTAATTTCAGACTCATTTTGCTTAATAATTTTTTTAGTTGTTTAATTGCAAACCTGTTTGGTGCTGGCTCGGCTTGGGGCCAGGCCGGACCATACATGGTCTGCGGCTGTGTTTTTAATTTACATTGCGACAAAAGAGGCTAAGAATCTGGCACTTGAACAATGTTGTGAAATATTTTAGTCGCTGAGTATGTGGGATTTTTGACAAGCCAAGGGGTTTGGCAGCAGAAGGTCGCCAATGTGTGTCTTTTTTTATCGCGATTTGAATAAAATAAACAAAAAAACGGTGTAATTAACCTCCGGGGGTCGCAAATAACAAGTGACTAAGAGGAAGTTAGACTAAACAAGTCATAGACATTAAAACTAGAACTATAAATTAAATGGTCTTTGCTGTTCTACCAAAAATTAATGAATGAATGTTAATACTTTAATAATACTTATCCTAATCCATAAATATTCAGACAATCTAAGAACCCTTTTAACTGTCCAAGGAAAGGCGACCGAGACAGACCCAAATTAAATCCGCCAAATCGAACTGATACCTAAGAACAACGTCTGAGCCAAGACATGCAGAATCTTGTGAAATTCTCCTACCTGTTCTGAAATCTCAGTGCCTGGTACCGCCACCATGATTGGATGACTCACCCGAGTCTGCGAACACGTTTGCGCCTGTCAGGGCCTGGGAAAAAGGAGCAATATCGAACATTGGGAACCTGCCGCGGTCTGGGATCTTTTCGTTAATGGTGGTTAAGCGGGGGAGGAGAAGGCGATGGGATACCACTGCGTAGAAGTCTTCAAATCCATTGCACTGCCCGAGTCTATGGAATTGCGTTTATCGTTTGGCCAAACCTGTTTTGGCATTCCTCCCCCCCACAACTCGACCGAGTTCGTTGCCTAAGTCTTTTGTTCGAAGCGCCACAGAGTTCATTGCCTGGTATAGGTAAACAAAATGCATTCGTGTATCAAGCCATATTTGCTGGACTCCGGTAGGTGATAGGCCAGCCCATCATGAGTGTGCACTGGGTTGTTAATTAACGGGGGAGAAGCTGGAATTGGCAATTTGCATAGAGCTGGAATGCATAACCTCCCAAAAGCTAATGAGATTGTACATTAGTTGCTGTAACTTATGTAACGGGAAATGATTTGTTTTTTGTTTAGACTTTTATCTTTTCGAGCAAAATATTTATTATTATATTTTAATTACAATTTTAAAATAGTATAAATAAATTCACTAAAAAAAGGATAATTTATGTACTTTCATTCTTGGATATATTTTCAACAACCATTCATTCTTTAAAGTTAAAAACGTTTCTTGGTATAACCTACTTTAAATACAATGTCTAAGAATTTAATCTAATAGAACCGGTGACATGTTGCCAGAACCATTACACTAATTTCCCTGTTCACGCGACATTCCCTCAAATACAGCGGATCCAACTTGGATCATCGACATCACCCACAGTAGTAGAAGAGCATGTAACCCACTTCGCTGGGGTCTTCGGCATCCCATTCTCACCCATTCAGCATTCAGCAGACTGGGTAAATCTGAATTCCATGCCGGTCGCATTCTTTCCCATCTCCCCAAAGACAGGCGGAAGTCGGGGCTCTGGTATGCGAGCATTCTTTCCTCCAGCCATATATTCCCAGGCTAAGCGAGCTAATTTAGTGCTTAGCTCGACATAAACTGTGTGCGGTTCCTGTTCGGCTTGTTAATTGAGCAGACTTATGCAGATGAGCTTAGAAATAGAAAGCCAGGCAAGCGGGACAATCGAAATATTTTGGCATGAAGGTCACAAGTCCAAAAGGAAGTCCGAACCTCCGCCCCCAAAAAAACCTTTCGACGGCTCCAAAATTGGGCAGCGTAGATCCAACATCCGTTATGGCTCAATTTCATTTACTTTTACTGTTTCCAGTTCTTAACTTCTACGTGGCCTGAGACTCCTCCAGCTATTGTGATGGGGAAAATACCCTCCAAATGATTTGCATTTGGCATACAAAGCGTTGACCGCTGCATTTGGCACTTGGCATTCCACACCCAACAGCCGTGGCAAATTAAATAATAAATTTACGAAGGAAAAAAGAGTATGCGACAACAAATAGCGGAACCAAATTAGGAAGTGGCCACACCACAAAGTCCCCCAACTCCATATTGGGGGGCTCACTGTACCTGACCAACTGTCATGGGCATATTAATTGTAATGTGATTGATAAGGTGGCTTCTTGAATGAATAAGTTAGAGACCGCGACTTGAACTCTACAAAAATGGGTCTCAGGAATTTAACAAAAATGTGTTTAATTATATAAAATGTATTTTAATCTATTCTTATCATTCTCATAGTTTTAAAAATATATAAATACTCCAATAAAAATATTCTTTAGAACGAAAAAAATATTCTTCTTCTTTAAAACGGAATGAAAAAGTGTCAAATTAATGTTATTTCCTTTCTTCAATTTCTGAGTCTCTCCCGCCAAATTGATATGCCACTTTTGCACCTCACGGGCCCTGGTGATTTTTCATAAATTATTCAAAGCCTAACTGCTTCCGTTTTGGACTGGAGTGCCTGCCTGCCTGCCAGTCAGTCAGTCACTCCTCCGATGTGGATGTGAATGTCTGCTGCTCCCCTGGCAGATTGACAAGGTTCGTTGGGGACTCCGCGTGGCCAGTGGGTCAGCGGGGGGTGCTGCACTTTCTTGTGGTTTCGATGGCCGTCCAGCTGCTCGTATAAATATCCATTGCCAATAAGAACGCCGAGTTTATTTTACATTTTATTGTATAATTTTCGGATGTGGTTGGCAGAGAAGACGAAGACCGTTCTGACTGGCATAAATTAACGCGTGCAACTAAACGAAAATAAATAAATTTCGTATTTACATTGGGGGTATATTCCCCGAGTTCCGCTCGGTTGCCCATCAGGTATGTCGAAAAGATCGGGAGACAATGGGGCGGTTTTCACAGAGCTCTGAGTGGTATGTATGCAAATCGAATCGCTGGCAAGGGGTTAAGTTTTGGTTGGGCCTCAATTTATGGTTATTAACACAATATTTGTTGTCGCTCCCTGGTTAATTAGCGGGCGAGGTCGCTTCTGGGAAACGGATTCGAATGGTTCCCAAGCAAATGGCCCGGCCAAAAATCAATTAAAAGCGCACGTGACGTTCAACTACCCACATCTGCATCCTTTCCCGCCTTCTTGTCAATTCCACTTGGGTGTTTTTTTAGTTGACCAAGCACTTCCTGTCCCAGGGGATTTCCCCGAACGACCGTTAGCTGGCCTTGTGCTTCCTGCGGATGATTAAAATATCTAAAAAGAAGGAGCGTGGGAGCCACTCTGACTTTGAAATCAATTTCCCTGGCTTTAAATTCGATTGATTTATCGCTCTGCGGGCTTCAATTGATTTTTCTATTTTTTTTAGAGTGGAAAGGAGGATTATCAAACTGTGATCTATATTCTTTTGGTGGTTAGGGTGGTTAGGATAAGGGGCTTGCCAAATTGAAATGTTTACTTCGGCTTAGGGTTGTGTACTCGCCCATTAAATTCGTTTTGATTTATGCGAGACAAGTGCCTAACTGATCTTGTTAAAATTTACGAGTTCCCGAGAAGGGTTGCAACTGTGAGAACTGGGGTGGTGGCAGGGATTATAAGGGTTCGTGATGTTTGCTTTAAATATTGTTTCAAGAGATACTTTTTTTATGTCACACACACTGACCATACTCAAAGTTTTCAGCTGAAAATGGAAACCACACACTGGTGAGACAACAAGAAGTCTTCAATCAGGTCTATTCACTTTTTTTCGGCCTGTAACTCGTTTATAGAGAGGAGCAACTACAGCAGGTAGCTTCACTTTCTAACAATGATTGGTTGGCAACCTTCTCTTTTCGGTTTCTTCCTCCGAGGAGTAATGAGCGCTTTTTCAAGTTGATAATTACGATGAAACAGCAGAAACAGGGGCAGAAACAGAAGCCGAGATTCGAGAATACAATGGCAACCACAGCTCATTTGGTTAGCCCCAGAGGCCTCTGGCCAAGATGATTTGTCTTTTCTGGTCAAAAACTTCGGAGGACAGAGGCTTAGGTAAAACATTTGTTTACACATGAAAATACCAGTAGCCGATTTATACAATTAAACAAAGATCCGCGAGGGATCCAAAAGAAGGGCGGCTAGAATGAGTGATATTCTGGGAGCAGCGTGGGAAATGACTTATGTAACTAACTGGTTGTAAGGTGTCTCTCGGATTCCCAGAGTCTTATTAAGTACCATGAGCTGGTTATAATTTCTAAGCTGATTTGGGGGAGACCTTTTGCAAATCAATCAAGGGCGCAGCGAATCCCCTTGACACCTCAATTACAAATGCAAATGGTGGGAAATTGGCAGAGAAAATTTGCTAAGGGGAAAGAGTAAAAATATATCCCATAAATATTAAGAACTTGTCACCCACATGCCATAAAGTTTTAAAGAAATTTAAAAGAAATTTCCATAAAAACATAAATCACTTAATAAATGAAAAACCATTAAAGTGGCAATTATAAGCT